ACCTACCACGGGAGAGAGAGAGAGAGAGAGAGAGAGAGAGAGAGAGAGAGAGAGAGAGAGAGAGAGAGGGCTGGAACGTTGTACAGTCCACCAACCAGCCCACCAACCAGCCATAGGGGCGCAGCGCCATCACAACACCCCTCTCCTCCTTCATCATCTTCTTCCATAGATCGTAACCTTCGGATGAGACGAGATACTGACTTGCAAGAGCCAACGCCCGCCCCCTGATTTTCGTCCCAGACTTCTTCTTTCCCGCCTTTGCATTCATCGAGGTCGTCATTGCCCTCGTCGTTGACTGAGACTGTCCACCACTAACATCCTTTCGTTTGTCGGAAGAGGGAGCCGCCCCTGCATCTGGGAAAGCAGTAGAAGATGTGGCAGTTGTGGACGACTTGGCAGCAGACGCCCTCTTGGCAGCAGATGCCGTGACAGAAGCTGATGAGGCAGCAGACGATGACATAGCAGCAAATGGCTTGGTAGCAAATGGATTGGCAGCAGATGTGGCATAAGATGACGTGGCAGCAGATGACGTAGCAGCAAATGGCGTAGTAGCAAATGGACTGCTAGCAGATGACGCAGCAGAAGATGATGTGGCAGCAGATGACATAGCAGCAAATGGCTTGGCAGCAAATGGCTTGGTAGCAAATGGTACCGGTAGGGGCATCTCGAAAGTTTTCCTGCTGGCTTTTAACGGCCATCCGGTAGGGGCATCCCACAAATTAGGGACCGGTACCGGTAGGGGCGTAACGAAAAGATTTGAGGCCCAAACGACACGGGGTCTTATGGAAAATTTGAACCCTGCTCAGAGGGGCGCGAGAGAGTAAATCAGCCGTTGGAGGGGCGCGACGCGAAATAACGCAAATTACAGGGGCGCCAGACAAATTTTCCCTAATAAAAATAACAAAAAATAAAAAAAGAATTAAATTTACTGAGTGCGCGACCACTTTTACGACACCGCCATCTTTTGGCAATTTTTCATTTTTTTTTGGCATAGCTAAATGCCCTGAAAATTTACAGATGTGTACTTCACATCATGCAAAAACCACTAAAAACGAACAGGAAAGGAAAAGAGAGGGAGGTGGCCGTGAAGGACGAAGCGGACCGCCGGCGCCGTAGCACTCTGCTGTCGCGACGCGCAAGCTACACGAGTTAGGGTTTTTGTCTTGTAGTGCGTGGGGCTTAACCTCCATACCCCGGAGCGCGAAGCACGGGGGAGGAGGCTCCTTCAGCTGTCGGCTATGGCAAGTCGAGCATGGGGGAGAGGAGCCTGTCCTGAGGGTTAGGACCGAAGGGGGAAGTATCGGGTCGTTGGAGGGCTGAGGTAGTGCGAAGGAACTGATTGAATCCGGTTGGAAATAGTTGGAATATACATGAACACTCTCGAGCCGAAGAACGCTGTGTATTGGCGTCCTTCCCATGGAACAAGTCGGAATAGGGAGCGGGTAAACCGCCCTTTTGTGATATTTTGTGTTAGGTTGTACAACACAGCCTTGTAACTCGGCCAAGTGAAGCTAATCTTATGCAAAGCAGGGAACAGCAGCCAACAGTCAGGCTAAGAGCGCTTTTGACCCGTTAGGTAGAGGCCTGTACTTTCAGAGTGGCGGGCTTGTTGGTAGGAGGGCGGCATGTTGGTAGGGGGGCGGGCATGATGGTAGGAGAGCGGCATGGTGGTAGGAGGACGGCTGTTATCTCGCCGTTGAAATGAAATAAAGTACGGTTGAATGCGGCAGGAGGAGAGTAGGGTTGGTTGTAAGTGACCGGCCTCTGGAATGCATCTCAACCAGACCTTTGCCATACAGAGGAAGAAAAAGGAACAGACCGTCACGTGCATCTCCGGAGCAGTTTCTTTCTTTTTAACGGGAACCATGAGTGAAAATCTCCAGAGCAGTTTCGGCTTTGGTCGGCTTTCAGTGGCAGAAGGCGAGCAGACACTGTATCTTACTTAATCTGGACGTGCCAAGTGGCTCGGTTGTCAACAAGGAACAAAGATGCAGTGGGGTCATGCGCCACGAGGTAACAGTACGCAATCCATACTGTATGCCAGCTGTTTTTTTGTCTCATTCGCCTTTTTTGTTTGTTTTGGACTGATGCCACAAGAGCTTTCTGTACGTGCCCCATTTCTTACTAACTAGCCATCGCGTGGCTTCAGTTTAAGTAAGTGGGGTTGTAATCCTACACGGTTCCCTCTGAGGGGAGAAGCTGTGGCACTAGCATACCGGATTGCTTGCCACGCCTCTCTAGTTAGGTTTTCATTTGTAATGAATGTAGTTCTTTTTCGGGTAAACATTCGGGCCTTCCTAGGGCTTTTGTTTTTTCCACATCTTTTTTCCTTTTTTCCTCTTTCACTTTAGCTCCTCGGGAGCCTTGGGGGGTGTAATCCCGCCTTTTACGCTGATATTTGTCCATCTGGGAGCTATAAGTCCCCTCAGTCTCCTTTCGTCTTGCCACAGGTGTAGGGGATGTTTCACACGGATGAATATACTCTGTCTTTCCGGTAAATATCAGGGCCTAGCGCTGTGTCTCTCTTTGTGCTGGACGGACTCGTAGTAAGGATAGCCTAGGGGGTGTAATCCCTGGTTTCACGCTGGCTCCTTTTCAGGGGCCCGTTATAAAAAGGTCAAGCATACCGGAATCATTCTCTCGTGCGAATCGATAGATATGAATGTTACGTGCTCTCCTGGCTCGTGTTAGCCATAAATGAATCGGACCTTTGGCTTGCTTGAATGCCTGCCGCGGCTTCGTGGTTTCTTCGTTGCTCCGCTACTTAGCACATGCCCTTGGGGTAGTCACATACAAACGAATGCAGAGTATGTATTCAGGAGGTCTGAAGGCCTGCTTCGTTACTCCGTTACTTACAGGCCTTTGTGAGCCTCGGGGGTATTGGGGTGCGATCCCTTCTCCCGACCTGACACCAATCCAGATTCTGTTGTTGTCTCATATGTTTTCTCGATTTGCCTGCTTTAGGGATGAATATATAAGGCTTTTTGGATAAGTATTAGGGCTTCACTCTGGGTCGTTCTGCTGCGTGGATGTGTTCGTGGTAGGGTGAACCTTGGAGGTGTAAACCCAGATATCGTGCTGACATTCGCTCGGGGTTGAGATGCAGTGTCCTCGGCCTATTATCAGTGCACTGTGATCACCTATGCGTGCTGAGTGACACAAATGAATATGACTAGTTTTTCGGGGCATAACAGCCATGATTGAGTTGCTTTTCTCAATGCACAACAGTGCTTGGCACAGAACACGCCCTTCTAGCCACTACAACGTGGGTGAGCCTGGAGGTATAACCGCCAACCCAAGGGTGAGCTGAGGCTAGTGTCGTTTTAAAAGACACTGTAAGCACTGTGTTCGCTCCTTCCTCCTTTTTTTTTTTTTTTTTTTTTTGTTCCAGTAGCTACGCTTCACGTCCTGCTTCAATCCCTTCCCGGACGGATTTGCAGTCTATTCTGTCCATAGGCCTTTACCCGCAAAAAGGGGGGAAGGGACACGGTAGTGATTAGGGGGCTGAGTACATAAGCATGCCCGCCATCGATTCTATCACGATGAATGTGACTGATGAAGACATGGCAATGCATCTACCACCAAATGAATTGGGTGCTCCAGTGGTAGAGAACGTAGTTTCCACTCAGAATCAGGCTATGCAATGGGGGAGCTTTGTTCCTCATTGGCAAAGAGGACAAGGGATGAGAGGTGGTGGCCGTGGGGGGAGAGGGAGAGGTGAAAATGGGGACCAAGGATCATCTTCCTCAGTGAGGGGCAGGGGAAGAGGCCGGCGGGGAGAACAGAGAAGAGGTCAAAACCTCAGACGAAGTGGACCCATACAGGAGGGTGGGGAAGACGAGGGTTAGGCACAAGGGGGTTCCTGGCGGTTCTCTGATGGTGGTAGAAGGGAAGGGAAGGAGCAAGCGCCATGGGTAGATTGGTTTCCGGCGGATGAATCGGAGGACTCAGATGATGAAGGTGAGAAGGTGGAGGACAGAATGGTTGGAGTGGTAGGGGGTCAGGGGGCGCCACCAGCTTCATCTTTTGGAGGGGTCACAGGGGAAAAGGGTGTGGAGGACCTAAGGATAATGTTGGAAAAATGTTTCGACAGGATGGTCATACCGGATATGTCCCGGTTCGCAAAGTTTGAAACTAAAGGTAACACGGTGACAATGACGCTACCACCGGAAGTTGAAAAAGCGCAGATTGACAGGATGAAAGAGAACGTAGTAGTTGTTTTCTTTCAAGGTAATTTTAAGTCAGTAACAGCAGAACGAAAGGAAGAATGCATCAAGAGCTTTGAAGATGGTATCCTTCCTTCGTCTCTGCACCACAAAGATCGGGGGCGGGTTCATCAGGAAGGAAGGAACTTGATGTCATATTTCCCCAGAGACAAGAAGATGGTTGAGCTAATGCTCAATCTAAAGAATCACGAAGTTAAGACTGGGGGAACTACGTACAAGATGACTTTCAAAAAGTGGATGACCCAGGACGAACTGGAACAGGCACACACAGATGACGAAGTAAGTAAATTTTGAATTATGGCGCTGAGGGTTCCGTGGTTGGGGGCGCCTTTCGTGCGCTCACAACTTGAGTATAGGGTGGGGAAGCTCTTGAAGCAGTACCCCCCGGAGCGGTACGACGATTCTCCCAAGCTCAATAATCTGAAGTTCGACATTCCCAGGGATAGAAGGGACAGTGTTCCTGAATTCCTGGAATGACCGCAGTCGAATGGCAGGACTATCCGCATTCAGGTGGTCACACAAAACACCGAATGGTGTTCTATGTGTAGGGAGTATGGCCACAGGTCCGAAACATGCCTACACACAATCGAAATCAACACCACCCAACAGTGAGTTCCAATCCCTGGGATACCAGGGGTTCTGGGACAAGGGGTAACGGGGCCAACTTTTGGCCCGGTCTCAGTTCATGGTAGGGGTGGTCTGCGGGCAGGGGCTCTGAGAATGCAAGATCCTCCACCTGCAGGTCAAATTCCACTCCCTAGAAAGCCTCTCCCTCGACAGCCTCTCCCTGGACAGCCTCTCCCTGGACAGCCTCTCCCTGGACAGCCTTTTGTATTTGGAAGGTTAGGGGGACAAGGGGCGCCCGCTGCCCCTTCTGGGGTGGGATCGGGTTCCCCTGTGGCTTCCCCTGTGGCTTCTTCACATTTCAACGGTGTTGGGAAAACCCAGCAGCCCAAACCAAGGACTAGACGACAAATCCAGAAGCACAATAATGAACCGCAAGCAAAGGCATCCATTCCTGGCTCAGACTCTGCGACCCCGGTAGAAGGGGGACATAGTGTTTCAGAACCTGCACAACAATTTGAAACAAATCAAGAGGTGAAAGCAACTTCCCCCGCAATTGGAGGGAGTACCACCCCTGTTGGGCCAGTTACAGCAGACGGAGGGGCTCAAACAGTCACAGGATCACCCGCAGTAAATGCAGCGGCAGATGCTGCGGCAGTTGAGGCCCCTTCAGATGCAGCAGGTGGTTCACCAGGGCCCCCCCCGGAAGCAGACCCAAAAAAAGAGACTGGTCAAGCAACATCTTCAGTGGGGAATGTTGAGACCAGTGACAAGGCAGAGGAAAAGGAAGTGGCCTTGCAACAGGCAAATTTGGAAGACAATGGCACGAGAAATAACAATAACAAAAATTGTGAGGATGCCATCTCCGGTCAGGATTCCATCAGTTCTGCCCACACCAGTCTCAAGATAGCATCCATTACTCAAAAACTCAGTAGAACCATGAAGGATGCTATCTTAGGCAGAGGAGGGGAGGAGGTAAGTACAAGGCTCAAGCCTGAGAATAACACGAAGGGACAAAAATGTGACGCTGGTTCTGGAAATCAGGGGAGTGAGGCTCGCAGTCAAGGGGTTAAGGGACGTCATAGTGTTGAGGAGGGAGATCACATATCTGTGCAGGCTCATCGAACTCTTGGGGAGTCTCAGCGGGATGGTTATCAGACAGCGGAGGAAGACATGCGGGATGAAGGACAAGATACTGATCCCGAGAGTACCCCCCCGTCAGGGGATTCTGAAGAATCAGGAGAAGAAGAGAAACCTGCAAAAGAAAAAAGGGGCAGGACAGCTTCCCCGGGCAAGTCAGAAAAAAGAACTGCAGTTAAAATCTCCAGAAGAGTCGCAGGTTCCGTCAGTAAATCAGCGGTCTCTAAGTACCTGGTCCCATTAATTTGCAGAAGGACTCAAGAAGGCATGATGATTCTGACCTATAGAATGGGTAATAACCTCAAATATCTGGCCCTGAGCCCCCTTGAAGGTAACCCAACGCAAGCTGTTATGATGGCCAAAGTGAAGGCCTACTTGGGGATGAACGCGCCAGTAAGGACTGTCCCTAACATGGGCACCAGGAGAGTGCTTAGAACAGGCAAGGGTGGGGGTAAGGTCCAACTCTTCATTGCGGCCTTCGACGTACGGCCCAGTGAAAATGACCTTTAAAGTGGCAAAATCGAAAGGCATCTGGTGCCCACTGGATTGGGTGAAGGATGAGAATGTCCTTCATGCCAACATGGTCTACATTGCGGAGGCCATTTCGGGGGATGTCCTCATTGAATATAATCGACAGTTAAGTACATATTACAACCTCTTCTCCATTTTTTTTTACAAGATACTATCTGCACCTTGGCAGGGAGGTGTGTCAGAGACTGGGGAGGACAGAAAAAGGAAGTCCAGCCTGACCTCCTCACAATTGAAGGTACCTGCAAGTTCCTCATTCACCACACCTGAGGGGGAGACCATCTCGATGTTCCCACCCCCTGATTTTTCCCTGATCCAAAGTCCGGGGGCCTCCACTGTAAATGAACAAGTTTAGGGTGGCCTCCTGGAATGTACGTGGCCTAGGGGAGTCTAAGGATAGACAAAAGTGGTCCAGGCTAAAGTCATGGATTCACCAGCAAAAAGTGCAGGTCATGTTACTCCAGGAGACCAAACTAAATGATGAAAAGATTGCAGACAATTTGTGGAGATGGCAGGGCCCTCAGTTTTGGGCCCCTGCAGATGGTACTAGAGGAGGTACCGCCATTTTAATTCACAAGGACCTACAGGCCTCTGTAACGGACTACTTCTCAGATTCTTTAGGGAGATGGGTGTGGGTCACATTGGATATAGAGGGCATAGCATGGTCTTGTGCATCCATCTATGCCCCAGTGGACAGGGGCGAAAAGGTACAATTTTTTGAAGCCTTACCCCATGTGCGGATTCACAAAACTTGGTGCTGGGTGGGGACTGGAACATGGTTCTGGACCCAGTGTTGGATTCCTCAGCGTTCGATGGGTTCCGAAGGGACTCATTGGCATTAGGAGAATTTGTGGAACGTATGGACTTGGTTGATCCCTTCAGGCAGTTACACCTCACGACCAAAAAATATACATGGGTTTCGCACAATCCAAGACAAGATCGCTCATACACCAAACTAAGATTGGATTTTTTTCTACTAAGAAATAAGCCGGTTGAATGGGCTATGGAAGTGAGAATGCCTTTTGACTCCCTATCTGACCATCGGCCTGTCCTGGTCACCTTTGTGCCAGACAAGCATATAGTCAGAGGCCGGGGTTTTTACAGGCTTAACACGGACCTCTTGAAAGATGCAAAACTCGTGGCATCCATCAGGAAATCAATTATCCAACTAAGGAATATGCGTGAATTCTATGAGTCTGAATTGGACTGGTTGGAAGCCGTAAATAGAATGGCAGCTGCTGATCTGAGCTTTGCCGCCAGGGCCAAAGCGTATCTTACGTGAAAAGCTGAGACAGAATGCATAGACCAAATTGAATGGGCAGAATACAGCCTGGGGGGAGACCCTCTTTTTGCTGCCTATTGGATGGCCCACCGGAATTCATGGATTGACAAACTGGACAACATACAGATTGAAAAAGAACGCGTTTGGGCAGAGAGGGCAAAAATTAAGTGGGTAGATGTGGGGGACAAAATGACCAAGGAGAATTTTAGAAGGTTGTCTTCAAGAAAGGGCTCTTCCCTGATCATTGAGTTGGATCATCCCTTGGACCCATTCGAGCTGAGGGCACGGGACACAGGGAAGATTCTAGAATATGCTAGATTATATTTCAAAGACATCCTAACTTCTTCTAGACAGAGTTTCCCTGACCCAGGGGATGAGGACCTCCTTAGTCTGATGTGGGACTGTTTTGATGTCAGACTTCCAACCCAGGGTAGACTGGACTTAGATAGACCTATCACCTTGGAGGAACTCACCTACACTCTGAATGATATGAGGAAAGAAAAGAGCCCTGGTAGTGATGGTCTACCGATGGAATATTATGTTGCCTTTTGGAAGGAATTGGGCCCAGCCCTAGTAGGCATCTATGCCAGCATTCTTGATGGCCACGAGTTGGGTGAGGAAATGAGACTGGGTACTATATCTCTCCTCTATAAAAAAGGTGACAAGGGGAATATCAGAAATTGGAGGCCTATCTCCCTTTTAAACACTTCATATAAATTACTTGCAAAAACTTTGGCGAACAGATTGAAAAGATATCTATCGGCCCTAGTAGGGGTAGAGCAAGCGGGGTTTGTTCAAGGGAGAAACATCCTTACAATGTGATGTTGACAATTGAGGCGCTTGAGACAATGAAAGATGATCAGCCAGAGGTAGTGGCACTACTTCTGGATCTAGAGAAGGCCTATGATAGAGTAAATTGGGATTTTGTATTAACCACACTGAACAAAGCAGGCTTTGGGGAGGTTTTCCGCAGATGGGTACAGGCTCTGTACACCAAAAGTCTGGTTAGAGTTATGGTCAATGGGGAGATCTTGAAGATCTTCCCTCTTACTCGTTCCCTGAGGCAGGGGTGCCCCCTGGCACCCATGCCTTTTGTCTTACAGATGGAAGTACTGATGTGTATGATCAAGAAAAATTCAGATATTCAGGGCCTTCAACTAGGCCAAGGTAGTCAGTGCAAGGCGTCAGCCATGGCAAATGACTTGTTCGCTATGTCAGTTAACACCCAACCCTCCTTAGCTGCCCTCAAGCGTTGTCTAGACATATACTCTAAATTATCAGAAGCTCTTGTGAATTGGTCTAAATCTGTGGCGATTTTGAGACAGAACTCCAGCTTGGCTATGGATTGGGGCCTGAAGTGCCTCCCTGCAGATAACTGTGAGCGGTTTTTGGGTGTGCAGGTCGGTCTTCTCGACGCCAAGAAACATGCGAGTATTTTGGTTGAACAAAAGATTATCTCCAAGTTAAACCAGGTATCCTCAATCAGGGGCATATCCATCCTTGGGAGAGCCCTGTTCTTGAACACCTCGGTTTACTCTGTAGCATGGTACCCCAACTCCATCAGGGGCCTTGAGAAACAGGCATACAAGAAAATCAGATCCTTGTCTATCAAATATCTATGGAAGGGTTCAAGTGAGCAAGAAACTGGTTACCTTGCTAAAGTGGCATGGAGGAAGGTGATAGGGGCAAAAGAGGAGGGTGGTCTAGGTATCCTAGAACCGGAGTCTCAAATAAATGCCCTCCTTGCTAGATGGGTAGTCAACTTGCTAATTGAACAGAGTAATCATCCTTGGTTGATTCTTGCTACCACAATACTCGCCAAGGAATGGAGTCTGGCAAGAAGGGAGGATGTGGGAGTCGCCCTTATGACTCCGTCTCTTGTCAAGGCTCAAGTTAAGTCACCAGTTTGGAAAGGGATTCGTGCTGCATGGAGTCGAGTCATGCCATCCTCGCTGGAACCACCAGGAATCAGAGAAGAGGTACTGGCCCAAAGGATTTTTGAAAATCCCAGTATGGTAGACCAATTTGGCATCCCATGGTCGGCTGCGGACTCCCCAGGGCATTTCGACAAGTCTTGGGTGCAAAGGGGGGTGTCCAGAATTGCCGATCTATGGGATGCGGAATTAGTGCAATGGAGATCTCCACTAGAACTCCAAACAAAGTTGCACCATCTGCGGGAAGTTACAGAAAGGGTGAAGACGGTTATTGACAGTATTCCTGACAGCTGGAAGAACATCCTGAGAGCCCCCCTACAGGCGTGCGAGGGTCATTGGGTTCAGCGCGTGGACGACAAAGGGGAGATCTGTTTTGCCAAAGTGGAGGTGCTTTTGGATAATCAGGATGCAGAGATCAAACCTTTCTCTTTCATGATGGTGTAGGGGGGCTCTACATTACAAATACTGCATTCGGGGGAGCAAGTAGTCAAACTGAACTCCAAGGCAGCGTCCATAGTTGTTAGAACAAACAAAATAGACAAAAACAACATCATCTATGACTGCCCAGTAGGCACACAGCCCGCATATAAACCGCCTGTGTTGCCTCTACACACTGGTTGGAGGTCAGTGGACTCCTCACATGTGACGAGCCTGCTGGATTACAGACCCAAGGTGGGATATAAGGTGCAGGTCAAAACGTCTTCCACCCCGTTGGAAGTGAAGAACAAGTGGATGATGGAAACGGCAGAAAGGTCATCCGCAGTTTCTCAAGTCACAGCAACCTCCCTGAGGATGATGTGGCAGAGCCTTCGGACAATATCATCAGCTAAATTTTGCAGCCTAGCCTGGCTTCAATCTCATAGAGCTGTGCCAACGACAAAATGGCTGTCAGGAAATAGGATGGATGTGGAATCAGTATACTGTAGATGCAAGAAAAAAGAAGAAACAGCAACACACCTATGGTGGGAATGTGTAGAGTCAAAAAGGATCTGGGTATGGTGGGAGGGACTATGGAATAAGCATGTGGGGGTCAAGTTTGAGTGGGATGAACGCTTTGTGGTTGAAGGAGTAGTGGCCGACGCAGGCGATATAGGGAAAGGATGGTGCTATGTGGTACTGGCCTGCAGGGCAGCTATAATGTATGCCATTTGATCGTTCAGAAACGATCGGCTCTTCCGTAACAAGTTCCATTCAGACTTGGCGACTATGAACCACATACTCGCGAATATCAGAGCACTCATTTGGTCAGATTGGAGGAAAACCAACCGGGCCAACAACAAGAGAAGTGCCAGAATGCGTTTCTTCAGTTCATAAGGAAACAAAGTGAGATTGTTGAAATCGACTGCACATGGGATCCGCATAGAGCCTTGGCTAATGGGCCCACGCCCTCCGTGAAACGCAGGTTTCTGTTTGGTCGCTTGGTCCATTTGAGTAACCCAGGCAGTCGATTTATTTTGGTCATGATTGAATTCTTGAATCATTTTGAATCCTCTGCAGATTTTTGTAGTCCCCACCACATTCACATAGGAAGTAGTATAGCAAGTCTTTTGGGCTAGTGGAGCACGCATTTCAGGCGCCCTCGGGTGAAGAGGCCAATTAGCTTGCTGTATTCGAGGACTATATTTGGACGACATTGTATGGGACGCTGGACCCGGTTTCCAGCAGGTGCAGCTCCCCACGAATAGAATGGAGCCATCGAACCTAGGCCCTCTTCTATCTTCAGGGTCTCTTACCACCCTGAAGGCAGAAAACCGGACTGGAACCGATGTTGAATTTAAAAAAAA